GAGTGGTCAACTGGTTGTTATGGCCCATAGGCCCTCCCAGGGTGGTTGCTATGCTTTGTGCGTCATTGCTGTGCACTTGTCCATAAAGCACACCCAAGGTCGTAAAGCATAGCACCACCAGCTAACTTCTGATTGGTTCCTTGTCACGAGGCAGGCATCTGACTTTCTAGTGTCTAGGGCAAGGTCATAGAAGCACATGTTTGGCCATTATGGCTGCCAAAAGGGAAGCTGGTCCCAGACAGGAAGTGACATAGCAAGGAGACTCATTTTTAAGAAGAGGAAAAAGGAAGTGTCGCTCTCTTTCCCCTCGGCTCCTGCTCCAGCGGCACGATGTGATCCAGCAGCTAGGAGGGACGCCAATAAGGCGTCTGATAAGATAAGTCTTATAAAATATATAGATGTATGATAATTGAGACTGAGCTAACAGATGAGAATCCTAGTCATTGGCCAAGCAGCATTGTAACTAATACAAGTCTCTCTGTGTATTCATTTGGGCCTAACTTGGGCAGGCGGCTGGCATAAAGCTTACACGTGGCAGTGGGGCTCAGCGGCTTTTGGCAGAAAGATTTATCGTAACAGGTCCCTTCAGATGGATATCTTCACCAGAGTGACAAGCCTCATCATGCACCTTAAGTGAAACCAAGAAGACTCCTAACTACGAATGTCCTGTTTCTTTTGTATGTAGAAATGGGTGTGGTGGGACCTGGATGTAAAAGTAGAATACTGGGAAAGACCAGGAAAGGGGGATGAGAGACGGAAGATGTGATTATATAAGAAAGCGTCGCAGCAGGGGTGAATATGATCGGTGTGAATTCCATGCATGTGGGGGTGTGTCACAACCCCCTCACTCTGCACATGCTGTGTCCCGTTGAATAAGAGGCCCCAGGCAGGATTCACCATCACTGTCTCCACTCTCTCAGGCTACTGAAGGTCACACCTCACAGATTTAGGACATTCTGACATCCAGGGATAGTTCCAGGGTGTGGATGGAGGCAAAAGTCTTTTGAACAGGGGGAGGACGGTTGAGATGTTTGAGAGCTACAGAGTGGAAGAACTAACTCTAGTCAGCTTTGGGAAATGGGATGTGACAACATCCGGCTGTCCCGTATTGCTACAAGGAAAGGGCCGTGAATTATGGAAAGAGTGAAGAACCAGCTAGATCTTGTCACAGAAACAGCAGTTACTCGGGGGATCTGAGGAAAGCATGGAATTTGGAAGCAGAAGAAGAGGTGAGGCGTGCCGGCAACTCCAAAGGAGGAGTTTAAGGAAATCGATCTATTAAAAAGAAAGAAAGGGCCCATGCTGCAGGGGAGGCCGCGGCGGGGAAGATGGCGGAAGGGAAGGCGGGAGAGGAGAAGCCGGAGAAGCCGCAGAGAGCCGGAGCCGCCGGCCAAAATTAATGTACACCTAATAGAGTAATGTTTAGCTGAAGGGTATTTACTTTTTGTGAACTCTGTGTTTATAATTTTAAATTGCTCTGTATTTTATGCTAGTTAATTCATGGGAGCCTCTTGTACTGCCACACAATCTCAGTTCCTGCTGTATACTCTAACAAACAGTGGAAGAGACTGTTGGGTCAGTAGGTGACAACTGCAGAGGTATCTTCCTTGTAAAGATGCTTTTTGAGGTTGCTGCTCCCATCACTCTGCTCAGTAAAAATAGCTCATCTTGGTAAGTTGTTTCGACTTCACCAGGACCTGAAGAAGAAGCAGAAAAACCTGTGAAAACTAAGACTGTTTCTTCCAGTAATGGAGGGGAAAGTTCCAGTCGCAGCGCTGAAAAGCGATCAGCTGACGAAGAAGCTGCGGACCTCCCCACAAAGCCTACAAAGATCTCCAAGTTTGGATTTGCCATAGGTAGTCAGACGACAAAGAAAGCATCAGCCATATCCATTAAACTTGGATCAAGTAAGCCTAAGGAAACGGTTCCAACCCTTGCTCCAAAAACCCTTTCAGTAGCAGCAGCTTTCAATGAAGATGAAGACGGTGAACCAGAAGAAATGCCTCCAGAAGCTAAGATGAGGATGAAGAATATTGGAAGGGACACACCAACATCAGCTGGACCAAACTCCTTTAATAAAGGAAAGCATGGCTTTTCCGATAATCAGAAGCTGTGGGAGCAAAATATAAAATCTCATCTTGGAAATGTACATGACCAAGACAATTAAATGAAATGTTTTGAGATTGGGTATGGGTGGGTGCAGTTAGAAGGAACAGTCTCCTTTTGTAAAGAATGGTGCAAGACTAGCTTCGGAGCCTTTTTTTTTTTTTTTTTTTTTTTTTT